GAAAGGTCGTGCTTTGTATCATTTGCAATATAGACAGCGAGGAAAAGTAGCTTCGTTTAGAAAGCATCGAAGGTATGCGGCTCACTCTAATTCATAAATCGCTATGAAAGTAATTACTTGTCGCATGCGCGCGGCGAATGGCCGATTAATATGAATGAGCTGCCCGGTGAATGAGAAACTAGTGTAACGTATGTATGATCGAACGATCGTAAATAGTAACGAGCGTGACTTTACGATTCGACTTCTATAATAATTGCCTGTCCCCTTGATCCTTGATCCATATGATACTTCGATCTGATAGATTAAATTCTTCTAATGATTCCCGATGGATTTTATAATAACGTGAATTTCAATCTGAGCCGATAAATATTATATATATATATATATATATATATATTTGTGCAACAGAGATGCACATTTTTCAATAACACAAGTTGGGACTGAAAATCCAGACAGAGGGTTGATATATAAATTAATTAATTTGATCGGAAATATTGGAAAGAAAAATTCTTTTTTACCAAGGGAAGTGCATGCTTTCAATGGCATAAATTGCGGATTTAAAATACAATCGGCTTGCCGGGGATACAATTTAATTTGAGAATGGTGGAAAAGCTTGAAAGACTCGGCAGAGAGGCGTGCCTCTCGCAACTCACTTTCTTTCCTTATGGTAATTGATAGCCCGTGCCATGAGGATTGCTACCATCGGCCGCAACGCCTTTCCCTTACCGTCGAAGTAGTACGTCGCTATAGTTTGCAGCTCCTTCTGCGTCGTGTTCCTGACGAGTACCTAGAAACAATGGCGGGACGTAACCTTGACACCGAGAAGAATTTGTATGTCCTGCGGAGGAACTCTCCCAAGATGGATAAGTTTCTCATTAAAACTAAAAATGGCACTTGAAATGGTACTGCATTCTTAAAATTATTGTTAATCCGTTTTCTTTCTCTAATTTAACGTGTATTATTTGCAATGAACGTATTATTATTTGCGTCCGTTAAATATCAACAAGAATTAAGATCCGATTTGTACAATGTTTATTTGGTATCGAAATATACTAATTATATATTATTAGATTTATACGTCGAAAATACGTTTCGAAAGAGAAGAAAAGCAGTGTGATACGTTTTCGATTCGATGCAGGCGTTACATATTTTATTCGCCAGCGATTTATCAACGTGCCCATAACACGATGATGATGATGATGAAGCATACGTGAAGGAACGAACTCGCAGGCCGTGAACTTATAATTGCAGACAGAGCAAGAGAACGAGAAAGGCGAGGAGCGATACCGCTTTGAATTCAAACAACCGGCTGCAAGTTCGTTCCATGGGATTTCGCCAAAATCGCTCGTTTCGCAAGCTTCACTGACCGGAAGTCGAGCATTTATCGGGGCTTCGGGTCGATGCACTACGAGCTTCTTACCTTCTTACGATCTCATTTTACGTAGGAAATTTAATTTTCAATTGCACGCGAAGTTTACATCGAATGATTGTTAAACGTGCAATCGGGCAATACGATCATTATCGAATTATGATTACTGTCAGAATATAATTAATTCGTAAAATTAGAAACATTCGATTACTTCTTAGAAGTTTCGGAAAGAATACTGCAGCCAGAATATTAGGCTCTTGCTATGAAATTTACCGTCTTTGTCCATCAGCCTGAAGAAAGTAGAGCGAAACGAAAAGTCGCATTCTTTTGATGCATTACAACCGATGAGTCCACGCTCTACTCTCAAGAAGAAGAAAGAAGGAAGAGCAAAGGTGCCTTTTAGAATTTCTCTCGCAAGCAAATGTTTCAAAATTCTTGAGTTTCATGCTTTTCACACGCACTGTCAGAAATATCCACTTGCTATTCTATACGTGTAAATGTATTATATCGTATAAATGTACTATAAGTTAGAATTATTTAATTATTATATTAATATTAATTATATTAATATTAATATTAATATATATTATACTCCAAAATTGAAAAAAAAAGAAATAAATCAGAAAATAGTACATACTTATAGTGTGATAGAGAAAAGTTAGATTAAAATTCAAAATCAACGTTGAGCATCAAAAAAAGAGAAGAAAAAAAGATGATAGTACAATAGAAATTCATATTCTAATAATATATAATAATACAATGAGAATTAATAATCGATATTTTTACAATGGATATAGTAGTTAATTTAACTAAAATAAATACAATAAAAATAGATGATAATGTAATAAATACAAATATATATAATACTATTATATATTATATATATATATATATATATATATATAAATATATGTAACGTAAAATTGACAAATACTGTTGTTTTTGAAAGTGGTATAAGTCCATTTATTTATACACTGAGATATTTAAGGGTTTGATATAAATATAAACAACTTTCAGTAATAACATATTATGAAAGATATGAGCAACAGCAATTTTGAATTTATATCTTAATTGAAGTTGGCTTTTCTGAAATGTAGAAAAATGAATAATTGAAATGAAGACATGTAAGTAAACGTTTATTAAGAAATAATTTCAGTTATATTGCAATGAATTTATGAATAAGCAAATATGAAATTACTTCATTAAGATAGCTGCAATCTTATTTTTCCTTTATACTTAGCATAGTAAAAGGAATAAATTTATAATGAATAGTAAATTTATGATGAATAGGAGTTATGTAAGTAAACTCATCATTTCTCTTTTGTTGTAGGTTTCTTGAAGTTGTGTGACAGTGGTAACATAGTAACTTTGCATTTTCTTCCATAGAGATTTTGTAGAAAATTTTCCCTTTTAAACCTCATCCAGCATATCTTCAGCTAATTTATAATTTCTCCATCCGTTCTTTGTTTTTTTTTTTTTAATTGTTTCTTCTACAGAGATAAAATCTTCATCTCATATAGAAGGAAGCTATTTCTTTTTCTGGCAGTTCTTTATTACATTACAATAGTCTCCAGCAGTATATAAACGGTCCTCATTCCTTAATGCTGTTTCTACTGTTTTCTGAAATCTCTGTTGTTCAAAAGAAATGAATGAGTTTGTGACAATGTTTTCAAGCCATTAGGTATTACCTGATAGACCAAGGACAGTGCACACTGATAGTCATAATAATTAATAATTAATGCAACTAAAGAAAGTTGTTTCAATTATCATTATTACGAATAGACTTGTTCCATTTTACAGTTCGACATTTTTTTTTTTTTATCAATTTATGAGGATATTATATACAAATGATTATACAAAAGCCTGACTGAACTAAAGCTACGCATTATCTTCCAAAAAAAAAAAAAAAAAAA